ACTCAAAATTATCTCAGATGAAACACGGGAAAAAATGAAAAAGTAAACTGAATGCACAATGACCAATAGCATGTAGTTCAACAAAGATATATAACACAGAAGAAGAAGGCAGATTAGAACAGAAAATCTAAAAAGCAAGGGGATCAAGAGGTTGGAGGGTGGGAAGAAAGGGAAGATAAATGAGATGAAAAAGAAAGTAGGGTTTGTTGTGCACCAACTTTCTACAAGGAGCATAAACATTCCTCCATATTTCTGCTGATAAAATGAAATTCAAATTAAAATTTAAAAATGAAAAAGGTCTAATACTGGTATAGTTTTTTTTCTTTTCCTAATTCTTTGGAAAAGCATTTCAAAATTAAAGGGGGCAAAAGTTTAGCTGTTTCATGGGGACTGTAAAATATATATTTTATATATACAAATGCACTTGAGTGATACAATTACATTTGGACCTAAAAGATGTGAAATGGAATTATACTGATGTTGAATAAGTGTATGTAGTGGTATAATAACAGTTTAACAGATTCTGATATATAAACACATATGTTTTATTATAACTAAAAAAATTAAAGAAAAAAGGACACAAGTGAGAAACAAATAGCTAATTTATATCCCTATGCTCAAATTTAATAACTACATTAAATGTTATGAGGTAAATAAAAAACTGAGCTAAAAGCAAATATTGGCAGAATAGACTTTTAAATAGGCATAATTACTAACAATGCAGGCTTAAAAATGAAGTTGGAAGGAGAAGAGGGAAAAATATGCCATGCATCAGTATAAATGTGAAGAAGCTGTACTAGCACCAGGCAAGGCAGTTTTCAAAGCAAAGAGTGATAAAAAAAAAAAAGGAGGGATACCGCATAAGGATAGAAGGACAGATGTGCCAAAAATACATAACATTCCTATATATTTGTACAGTGAAAATCAGAGCATCCAGGTGTATGCATCAGAAATTGATAGAAAGAATGAAGAGAATATGTTTATGATGGCTTTACCAATAATACATTAATTTTTAATAGCAGACAAAAATCTAAAACTGTTAATCAACTCAGCATAGTAAATGTTTATAGAACATTATACCTAGCAACTACATAAAGAATACATCTTCTGCTTAAACATATTTGAAAAATGTGCTGATACAGATCATATGCTGAGGTATAAAAAATCAAAACAAATGTCTAAGGATATAATAGTACAGAATGTATTATAAGTGAATCACATGACAAAATATCAGCAAAAGATAACATTCACAAATATTTAGAAATATAACAACACATTCATCTCAAGCCAAATGAGAAATGAAAGGAAATTATAAAATACTTTGGACTTAATTATGAAGCATGAAAATAGGACATAGTTGACTGGACAGTAATAAAACATTCATAGCTTTAAATGCTTGCATTTTAAGGTTTTTCAAATAAATCCTTATCCAAATTTCTGCTTTTAAAATTAAAAATGAAAATGCAATATCAACCCTAGCAAATTAGAATGAAGATGTCAATGAACAAAAGAAATCAATAAAGTAAAAAACAAAAATCAAGTCATGTTTTAGTCATTTTAAAAAATATAAAAGAATTGATAAATTCCTACAAAGACCAATCTCAAAATAAGACAAAGAGGATATCACTACATATCCTACCACAGGAGAAAGGAGATCATGAGAAACCATACCAACCATTTTGTTGTACTAACAAAATGCACACTTTTTTTTTAACAGAACAACAATTTATCATAATCCACACAGAAAGAAACAAATTGAATAGTCCTGTAAATGTAGAATAAATTGGCTTCTTAATTTAAATTTTTCCACAAAGAAAATCTCTTCTTTTAGTTTGACAGGTAAAATTGTTTAATTTAATTAGAAATGATCGATATTATGCAAACTATTTCATTAATAAAGGTGAATATTTCCTACTTCTTCTATAAGACAATCACAACCTTAGTACAAAAAATGTGACAAAGAATCACAAGAAAAGCCAATATAAGAAATAATTTCTTAAAATCCTTAACAAACAGTATCAAATAAAATTCATCAAGATGAAAAAATAATCTACCATGATCAATTAGAATAATGAATATAAAATAGGACCAATTTATATAGTCATTATATTTACTAAAAAGAAGGAAAAAAAGATATGAACATCTCAGTTAAAGAAGAAAATTCACCTGACAATATTCAGTCATTCATGATATTAATTCATAGCAGACAAAAGACAGGATGAAACTATCATTATCTGACAAGGAAACATATATACACCTTATATACACACATAACATAGTTAGCTTCATCATTCCTGAAAAAAATATTGAACATTTTCTCCATACATTTCTATGTGGGAGAAAGAAAAGATGTTCTTTCTCATCATTTCTATTAAACATGGTTCTAGAAGTTAAGGAAATTCAATAAGGGAACAAAAATAATCAGTAAAATTATATTTGTTCATAAACAAAAATGATGCTGTGTACTGAGAATCTAAAGGAATAAAAAATGTAATGGATTGCACATATAAACTCAGTCAGATTATGGAATATTTACATGCATGTATATGTCAATAAATGTATATCAAATATATTTCTATCCACTAGCAAAGAAAAACTGAAAATAAAATTGAACAATCAATGCAAGTTGCAATAGTATCAGAATTTATAAAGTTCATAAGAATCAGTTTAGAGATCTACAAAACCTCTAGATTCAAAACTATAAAATTATGTTAGAGAATATTTAAAAGACATCAAAACACAGAATAATCATGTCAGTGGATTGAAAGACCCAATATTGTCAAGATGGCAGATCATCCCAAATTAAGCATCCCACTTGTCCCATTTTGTTCATTCTGTGTGTGTGTGCGCGCGTGCGCACGTGCACACACGTGTGTATAACTGGACAAGCTGATTTTAAAATTTATTTGAAAATGCAAATATACATTTATGTATATATTATATATAATATTGTCAAAGAACAAGATTAAAGGACCTTAACAAACCACTGTATTGAAGAAAAGTATTAACTTTAAAACATTTTACATTATGATTGATATCTATCACCATAAAATTGTGTGGAAGACAACTTGAGTGACTCCCCTTGATGCAGAACAATTGCTACAACTTTGATGCTATTGAGACGTATTTCCTTATACTGATGCATAGAGAGCTGACTATGGTATTTCCTCCTCTCTTCAATTGGCTCTAAGTATTGCAAATAAGTCTAGCCAGGTACCCGTATGTAACCTCTAAAGCCATCAGACAGTCTCCCGTTTTCTCGCATAGTGCTGTCTCTAAATTATGTAATCACAGTGGAATGGTAGAGCCAGTCAGCTCCAGGAATGTCAACCGGGTGTGAGCTTCAGGGTAAAGAAGCTATGACTGCCCAGGGCACAACAGTTGACATGTCAGAAACCAAAGCAGCAGCCTCCTAAAACGATTCAGTTGCTACCTTAATTGAATTATGCAAATTGATCCTTCTGCCTATCCTTATCTCTGCATTTTGCAGAGATGCTTTTCTCCCTACCTAGCTAGCCAGCTCAAGTTGCTTATATAATTTCCACCATCCTCACTGTCACTCATCCTCGAGCTACCCCCTTCTTCACAAGATAATAAATTCTGGTAGAGGCCTAGGATCAGGGTCTTTTTCAGCACATCCTCACGAGAATTGGACGTGGGACCCCTTGGCTGCCCTTAACTTGGAATATGTCTTGGTGTCTTTACTCTCGCTGTGGGTTGCATTGGAGGTGGTAGATTGGAATTACTTTGCTGGGATTCCAGTAACATCTCATGTGATTGTAAATATGACTTTTGGATTGTGAGGAAGACTAGAAAAGGGATTATAATACTTGGATGATTGTACACAATATTTGGGATTACAATAAAATTCAACTTTCTAAACTTGCAAGTAGAAACAAAATATAATTAATTCATGTATATATATTATTTGCCATTCTATAACACTCAATTCATAGATTCATTTTTTCTTTACCAATTTTTATTACAAAAATATGTATCAAAATTAATGCATTGAAATTAAAGTATAAAGAATGGTATCAAGAAAACATTTATGTTAATTCTATTAAATAATTGTTATGATCTGCTTTGTTTGCTTTTCACACATAAATATATACACACTGAATGTAAAAGAACTCAGCCAAGCAAAATAAAATTTAAATGTAATTATCAATAGTAATAAAGGTCCAAACAACTGTTTATTGACTCTTCTTAATTCGTGGTAGAGAGATGAAAAAAGTGAAGAATTAGGATGAAACAAGTCCCTTGGAAGCATCAAATTATTATTGAAACAAATAACCACACAGCCGCTTTAAGACTGCACTAATCAACCAAATGTCTTTTATAGCAATGTAGCAAACATACATCAGAACTACCTTTAGATTTAACTAATCTAGCAATGAAAATTTGCTTCTTTGTACTTGCCACTGAAAAACAACAAATAAATCAACATAAAAGTCATAATGTAGACTTCTTTTTGTGAAGTGCTACTTTCCTGTTCTAATTTATATAATTTGTAAAGGAAGATGACCCTATAGAAAGAATTTTTTCTCCCTTTCCCCACAAAACTATAGATTGTAAATCTATAGTTTAATCAGTACCCTGTACTACAGCAATATGCTTCTTCTCAATGTACAATAAGGAATTTCACACAATTACCTAGAAAAAAATATATGTCCAATTTAATAAAGTGTATAATGATGTTTGATAACATAACTGCAGTGATTATACAGCAAAAGATGCATAGCATGTTGTTGTTCAAAAAAATGGATTTATGAAGATGAAATATGCTTTTGAAACCCAGTATATTATGATCAATTCATCTTGAAAATACTCTTTCTTTAAGGCAGTGACAAGCTGTTTCATTTTAATTGTTTCAAATTACTAATATAAAAGCTATAAAAGAATGAGAAAACTAAAACTAGATTCATTCATGATTTAAAATATTTAGAAAATTTTACAGCATAAAAATAGTAACAGTGAATTAAACAATAATTACATACCACAGCAATTCCTGAAGCATACTCCTCATTACATATATTCTCTGGAAATGTGGCTCCTATAGACTCGGGATACTTGTCAAAACTAAAACACAAGAATTTTACTCATAAATGCATTTTACTAAGTTCATATTACTAACGATAAGCTTCATAATAGCAAACATTAATCAACAATTACTGTTGCTGCTATGAACTATACTGTACATTTTCTCAAACCTTCACAATGTTAACAAATATTTCAGTAAATTAATTTTGGATGATAAACATTCAGGAACAGAACAAGACTTAATTCATATAAAATGTTATTACACTAATGGTTATAGTCTTCATTCTTGTTTCTTAAATATTTCAACCCAAAAATTTCAATTGTCTATGATATAAATATTTATTTACTAAAAATGAATATTATTGCACTTTAGATTCAAGAGAGCATGACAATTCAATATATTCATTTTATTAGGAAATAAAATTTTTATCCATTAGGTAAGAGACAGAAATACAGAAATTTGGTAACAGGTAATAAAAGATTATAAACCAAAGGAAATTACACCATTCATTTTTAGTTTTCATTACTTTATTTCTCTTTATGTAACTTTGCATTTTTAAATACTTTAAAAAAATTTTTTTACTGTGGTCGAAACAGATAACAGCTAACCAGCCTTCCTAAATTTTTAAGTACATGGTACAGTCTGATAAACACAAGCTCTTTAGTGTATATTGGCTCACAACGTCACACTCGCGAAGCAGGCACTGTGCTGCCTCAATCCCAGGCACATCTTTTGTACATTTGTGCTGCTGATAAAAAACTTTTTAAAGTTTTCATCACATTAGCTCCTTGAGGACAAGGAATCTACCTTTTTCACAAGCCATGATTTCTGTGGAATTGTAGAACACATTGGTTACAAAGTAAACCCTTATTTTTAATAATTCACATATTAAGCTTTTTTAGGTTATCCCTTCTACGTTACAAGATGCAGGATATTATACTTACGTTAATAAGTATGCAACATAATGTGATTTGAGACTAACATGTTTACGTTTCCAATCTGAAAACCTAAATAAATCATCATCAGGACGCCGTGTGTTTGTGACTTTGTTTGAACGTGACCAGATTTCAATGGAAGATATTAGAACATGCAGTTTTAATTGGGTAAACATCTAAATGAAAAAATAAATGAGAAATTTTAAATAAACTTGAAAGTTACATTGAAATTTTATAAAATATATTTAACAGTATTTTGATTACATAGTCAAGAGCTCAACAAATATTTCACACATTAGTTCATAAATTCTATATTTTTACAATCTATAAAATAAAATGATTTTGAAGACTCACAGCATTAACGAGGCCAATGACCTGAATAATCTTCTGGGTTACAGTCTTTATGTCAGACCCCAAATAATCAAACTGAAAAAGAGAAATTATTAGTAAAAACAAGTGGATGTAATGAATACATCACATTTCTTTACACATACAATTGCTGGACTCTAAAGTAGCCATAAGACTACATTCAATTGAAATGCAGAAAATTTAAAAATGATTTATAAATAGCGACTTGGTAAAAGCACTCAATAATGCAATTTTAGGAATATTTCATACACTTGAGACTGAGGGTCACAGGACATGAAGTTGCTCTAGTGATTGTAACCCCATTAATGATTCTGATTTAAACCGCCATTCATTCACCAATCTATCTTCACAAGAGCTGAGACCTGCTGAAAATCCAGTGTCTGGTTTTTGTACAATAATAGTAAAACCAAGGAGAGATAGAAATATTTACAAATAATTTTGGAAACTTCAATGCCTCTCTCAACAACTTCTAGAGCACAGTAAAAATTACCAAGAATTCAGCATACCACAAACTTATAGTATCAGCATACCTAACCTTTCACTCTACAAATGCAGAACACTCATTTTTTAAGCATTTATGCAACATATACCAAGGTGGATAATATCTTTAGCCTAAAACTTAGCTCAATGAATTTAAAAGAATTCAAATCATACAGAATGTGTTCCATAACAATAAAACAAAATAAAAAAGATAATAGGAAAAATATCACTAAACACCACACCTCTTAGTAATCCATGGATCATAGAAAGCTTCAAAATTCCAGTAGACAAAATGAAATGAAAATATCAAAATTTTGAAATAGAGCAGTGATAAGAAGAGACTTGATAACATTAAATGCATACATTCTCTAATACTAATACTTATATGGTTTCATTTTGATTGGAATTATAGATCAAATTTTATTTTTTAAGAAAATTTTTCCAATACTGATAATTATTAAAGAGCTATTTTTATAATTTAGATTGCCTGGTTGATTGATTTTATTTTGTGATGCAATACGAGGGATTGAACTGAAATGCATCCTCAGCCCTTTTTAAAAATGTGTTTATTCTGAGACAGGGTCTCCTCATGGCCAGGCTGAGGTTGCAGCACTCCTGCCTTAGTTTCTCAGAATTCTGCGATTAAAAGGTTGCATTATCACACTCAGCTTCATCTACAGAGTTTTGTATACCATGCTTATCAGACTTTTTTATTTTAATGATAGTCACTGTTTATCTTTATTAATTAAAATGATCTATAAAATGTCAATCTAATATTGTCAGCTTAATTCTTTTTTTTATTCAGTACTTGCTAACCTACTCAGAAATGTTGTTTTTACGGGAACCATTTTTTCATTTTGCTAATAATATTTAATGTGAAATTTACCCTCAACAGCAGTTCAGATGCAGACCACAGCATTATCGCCAACAGGCACCATAATGTAGAGCTGATCTCTTAAAACCTATTCACCCTGTACAACTGACACTTTGTATAGCAGCAGCTCCCTGTTTCCCTAACATCCCTGGAAACCATCGTAACCCAACATGGATCACTTATTCAAACACAGTATCAGCTGGGTCCATCACTATCATAGGATACAGAATTTCCCTCTTTTTTGAAGCTCCGTATTTCACTGTGTGTCCATTCCCCCTTTTCTTTCTCTATTTTTTTGATAGGCATCAAAGTTGTTTCCTTATCTTGGATATTATGAAAAAGGTGCTTCAATAAACATGAGTGTGCATATATTATGTTCAAATTGTAATTTTAATTCATGTGGATACAAACACATAACTCTGAAAGCTACATCATGTGATAATTCTTTTTTTTTTTTTGAGGAAGCTCCTCCATACTGTTCTCCATCACCATTGTACAATGGATATTTCTTTTGTCCTCATCCTTAGCAACACTGACATAGTGCAATAGAAGCCATGAGATAACTTGCATTTACAAACTGCCTGATGATTAATGATCTTGAGCACCTTTTCACATACTGTGGACCATTTGCATGTCTCAGTGTCTCCAGGAATCTAGTTTTTTCTTTCTTCCTGGAGGCTACAATCTCTTTCTGCCTTAAATGTCTGACTGTGCTAATTCCATTAAAGCTCTGCATGAAGTAAAATACAAAACGGACACTCAGTGTGATACTACAGAGCTAGGTACAGCAGAGCCGTACCCTACTTTTCCGTCCATGCTACCAAAGCAGCAGCTACAGTGCTTCACCTACTTTGAACCTTTTAGAGCTTTATCCACCAAAACTGCTGGCAGCCAGGCCAGAACAGTTTCTCTAGTGTCCTTTGTGAGGTGGGACAGAAAACAGCCTCTCAAGAGTTGCACTGAAAGACCAGGGACAATGGCACCACGATCTATTCCCCCTTCCCTCCTGAATTAGAGGGTTCAGGTCAACGCCTGCTCTGTACTTTACAGATTCATGCTGCCTGCAAAAGATGCCCAGGTCACATGACTATGTCAGCTCTTTGAACCATTTATGTGAACCAGAAACCATTCCTTTAGGGAATACTGAAAGGCCATCAATCTTGGACTGTTACCAAATGCTCCCACCACTCAACAAAGAGTCATATTTCTCTTGGCGCTAAGCCATGCTATCTTGGGGGAAGGGCTGATGCACATAGAGTGAAATTGTTCTGCTTACTTATTTCTGTGTGACTTATCTTGGTATTGTTCTTATCTGGATACTGTAACTTTTTAACTGGATTCTGGACTTCTCATGAAGATACTTTATTGCTATATCATTAAATAATCTGCTGGAGTAATTATCTTCCAGTCTTACCGGAGTCACTTCCCCATGCGAACTTTTTCCTATCCAAAATGATGTATATTTTTGTTACATTTATTACTTTTACTTAATTTTAATTTTATTACTTTTTAATATTTTCATTACATTTTTAAATTAACTTAGGGAGAATCCATTCTTTACATTGTTGGTACTTTCTATCCAAGAACATAAACACTTCTTAATTGTTTATGTTTGTTTGTTTTTCTGGAATAGTATACAGATTTCCAAACATTGGGTTTACATTTTTCTTCTAAGTATATCCCTAAGATTATATTTTTACTGCTGCTATTAAAAGTGTATCTTCTAATCTGAAGAAAAAATTGAAGGCAAGAGAGAAACTTCAATGGAGGAGGAAGAGGCCGCCTGCAACCTTTCCTTCTGGAGTCCAGAGTCATTGTAGGGGAAATGGGTGGCTTGCATCTGCCTCTGCAGTGATGACCGGCAACCTCAGAGGCCTGCACTGAGAGGCGCACCAGTGGAGTCAGACTGCAGGGACCGGTGATTCTGTTCCTAATCAGATGTCAGGCAAGAGAGGAAGGCAGTCATCTTGGAGCCAGCCCAAAAGAGCTCCTGAGTCAGAGCTGCTGCTGGCTCCACCTCGTGGCTTCCAGCCACGTTTAAAACACAGAAAGTGTGGTGGTTGCTGTGGGCTGGGCTGGTCTGATTTCAGCCTTGCAACTTGAGGCCAGCCTGAACTTCACTGGAAATAAGGGTGCAAGCTTACTGGGATTATCCACTACCTCACTGTGGAGCTGTGGCTGGCTTGCTGGGATTAAACCACATGAATCTGGACTCTGACCATGCAGGCTATCAGTGGCAGGAGACACACACCTTCAAGAGAATAGTTTTTCTTTTTTCTTTCCTTTTTTATTTAATATCTTGTTTATTTGTTTGCTCTTTTGTTTATATTTTTCATTATTCTTGTTTTTATATGAATATAAAAATGGTTTCCAGGGGAGTTTCTGTTGTTGTTAGTTTGTTCTATTCCTGTTTTTATTTTTTCCTTCTCTCTTTCCCTTCTGTCTTTTGCAAAGTTTCCCAAAGTTTGTGTGATCTTCCTTTGCTTCTGTTTCTCTTTTACCTTGCATCTAATCTCTTCCTTTTCTATGTTTCTCTATTTGCCCTTAAACCCATTTAAATTTTCTTCCATAAGTGTGAAATTGTCATATTGAGGGTTTATTTACTGCATACAAAGGTCTCCTTTTTGCGCATGATATTGATTTTAACTCCATATGCTTCTAAGTTCTATATTTCTTCTTATCATAGATGATTAAAATGTTCAACTTGCAATAAATGGAGATTTTCTAGTTCTCTTTCTTTACTACCAGTATCTACTATAATTCCGCAATAATAAAACAACAAACTATGCCAATATTAACACACAACCCCAGTTTGTGTGATTTCTAGTCTAGCTGGCATTACCTGTGGCTGGTTGCACTGTTTTAGGGCCACAAGTGCTTCTCAGCAGTCAGCAGCCAGTAGCAGTATGTGCCTCTGTGTTACAGAGTGTTGTGCTAGTGTGAGGGTGCTATGATTTCAATGTGTGATGAAATGCTCAACATTCTTGGCCACAGACATAGCATAGAGGTCTTGAGGCTATTCCTGTATACATTAGTTCTACCCAAAGCTAGTTTAAGTCTCTACATTGTTGACTACTGATCAGTGGCTATGGATGAAACTTTCAGACCAACTCTAGGCCCAGCATATAATAATAGATTACCTATTTTTAGTCCCTCCCTCAATTTATGTTGAATAGCACATCAGCTGTAGACTTGGGATGAATTGCCCTCTAGGAGTGAAACTGCCAAAACACCAACAGCAGACTCTCAGCAAAGCTGGACTTAGGGTACCATCTTGAGCTGCACTAACAAAAATGACAACAGGCTCAGATAGAATAAGCAGTCTCTTTGACATTCTAGAAAAAAAAGGCATGAAGCCAGATTACAAATATTGGAATAAATACCCTTACTGTTCAATGTTCAAATGATGTTTTACACCAGCAAACATCGATAGCTGTCAGGCACCTGACATTCAAATTAGGAAAGCAGAAACTGATCAGACAGAATGGGCGGAGTCTCAAATGAGAATTTAAAACATCTGTTTTAAAGTAAATTCACTGAATTTCAAGAGAGCAATATTCTAACAGAAATTTAACAGAGAAAGAGAAGCAATTTTTGAAAATCAAACAGGACTTGAAAAATAAAACATATGATAGAAGGAATCAACAACAGAGTAAATCAGACAGGAGCAAGAAGCAGCTCAAACACAGTCTATTTGAAGAGAGACTACTGGAGAAGACAAAAAAGAAACAGGAAGGAGAAATCAAATGAGAATTCTGGGCATTTTCCTACTAATAGGCCATTTTTAGAATGTCACTAGCAGATCTGCCTCAGAAAATTTGTCCCTGATTGCAGCAAAGACAGTCCTCATGCCTGCCACTGGCATCCTCAGAGCAATTTATATTTTATTTGAATGAATAGCCAATACTTCTTTACATGTATGCCTGTGCCTCTGAAATCTTAGTTTTTAAAAAAAACTTAGTAAGAAAATTAAAAAGTAATTTCGCACAGGAAAAAAGCTCATGGCATTTAAAAAATAACTTTATCAACAAAACACAGCTAATTAGATGAAAAGGATTTGAGATGGATAAAAGGGTAGAGATCTCTACGCTCCCAAACAAATACATAAATTGTTTTTGTTTTAAGCCACTAAATTTTGGAGCATTGCTGGGATAGATAGCTTAGTTTACAGTTGTCTGATGGTCTACTTTGTCTGAAAGTAATCTAGCCACAACCATGTCTTAAAATTTGTGTTTTTCATGCCGTATTTTTCCAGTCTTCTATGTTCATTATTTATGTAAAATATTTTAGGATGTCAGTTGTAGGCAGAATGTATGTATGTCTGTTGTATGATTTTTTTCTCTGCTTTTAATCTTTTTCTTTCAGTTTTAATAGCACTGCTATCTGTGACTGTGTCATAATTACTGACACAGATGAGTTCAAGCATTTCATTTTAAATCTAGCTTTTAGCTTCATCCCATATTTGAGACAGATGCTAAGTGTATAATGCATTTCTTGCTGCTCATTACCTTTTCTCATAATTATGTTTATATCTTCTTGCTTTTTCATAATTGTTTTGCAATTTTATAAAAATTCAGTTATAGGAAGTGCATTGTCTGTATAGTGAATCAATTTACCTCTACTAAAATACACCCAATGCTTTAGTGAATCATTAATTTTAATTTTTGCTGACTGCTAACATTTAGCTCAGCTTTTCTAACTCATATTCCCCTTTTTGGAAGCAGCAGACTCCCTTAAGAGAAAATAAAATATTTTTATTTTATAACTATTTTAAACATTTAGTATCTGATTGTTTTTGGGCTTTACATTTTTTCTGTTTGCTATTGTCAATGGTGATTTACTTCCTTATGGATTGTGAGATCATATATGACTGATATTAATCTATAATAATCATAAGGTATCCTACTTGAAGTATCATTCTTCCAAGGATAAACACTATTTGTGTCCACTAAAATAACATGGACCAAATGTAGCCTCATAGATGATAATCCTAACTGAATATGCTAATATCTATTCAAAGCCTAAATGTTCATGGAATTTGAAGTATAGTCATGAACTTGTAATATGATGAATTTGCTCACTTTTTCCTTTCTGTTTATTTTATCTAGAACTACGAAGAAATGAGATAATTGGTTTTCTCCTTTTACTTGGAAATACAGCCTATTTGTCATGGTGACCAGCCTCCAATTATGATGAGGTAGTTAAATATTACTATTGTAAGTAGAGTTTGAAGGTTTGAAGAAGTTGTAATCCATCCATTTGCTGGGAGTGTAGCCTCTTTGACAAAAGAAAAATAGTCAGTAAAACTTAAGAAGATGCTTCATCTTACAAAAGTAAGATGAAGAGTTCCTATCTATAAAGGAATTAATAACGTTTGTTTTATTCATATTTTTTTTTGGTACTAGAAATCGAATCCAGGACTGCACGCTTTCCAGGTAGGCACTTATGCTGCTGAGCTAAATCCCTGGCTTTATTCATAATTTTTATAATGTATTATCTAGAAATGCAAAATAACAATGGTTGATTTCCATTAAGTCATTAGAATCAACTTAAAGACAGATAATAAATAACTTAAAAATAATAATGAAAATACTAAGACATACCAGATTTTTATTCACAACGATATACATGTCAATGTATCGAGGGGATAGCTTGGAAACTGTAGTTTTCTGAAAAATATACAAAATGCATCTTGAGGATTCGACAAAACTTTAATTTCTCTTAAAATTATATTCAGAGATAAACTAAACATATATACTTATTGAGTATATAACAGAGCTATTTTAAAATATAAAATATAGGTACTAGTAAGGATTCTATCTCAACAAGCGCTGTGATTAGCAAGAACTTTCAGTGAGAATTTCCAACCTGTAAAGAAACTCAGATATCTTTCTTTGTTGTAATAATTGAAACTAAATTTTAAGTTTAATAACATAAAACATTCCTTTTCTTATCCTTGTGATAATCTGTATACTAATAAATCTATATATTAGTATGATTAATAACAAATATGTTAATATTTGTATTTTCTATATGTCTGTATCAGTCTTCTAATCATTTATTTTTAGTATGGCTAATAACCATACTGATAATTGTTTTAGTATTGCAGATTTATTTTTACCAGTTATTAGGAAACTAATTTGTGGAGGAAAAACTCATCACTGCTTTACTCACACATACCTTACTTAAGCCACTAAAGAAATTATGCAGCTTTGAACCTTTACGAAACAAGCATTTAATATTTTGATCTAAATTATCTCAGTAATAGAGGAAAATGAATATATTATACTTATTATCGAAAAGTCCACTTGTGAAAATGTTGTAGTATCTTTTAGTCCTATTGTATTTCCAAGATTACTTGCTGAGTTTAATTTTGCTAAGCTTGTGTCTAAACATGGCAATGAGCAGAAATTCCATTTAAAGTCATGCAGACCTTTCATGAAAAACGTTAAGATTACCAAGTCAGCAATCAAACCTGGATATAAAAGCAGTTTTCATGTAACAAAACTATACAAAACAAATAAAACGAGAGTTAACACTTACATGTACACTCCTTCTCCCTTGACTCTCTAAATTATGAATTCGAGCATAACTATTATTTTTTCCAAAGAGAGGAACATGGGTGTTATCGTTGTTTTCTTCATAGATCATGTGCGTAAATCCTGATAAAACCTCCAGTGGTTCAATTGCATATGAGACGTTTTCGAACTGTATTACTCCCCTGAATATGAATTAAAGAAAGTTTGAATTAATTCTATCAAAACTATAATTTCTTACAAGAAATTTTGGCCAGAATCTCTCTTTCAAATTCAAAATCACTTTCAGTTTTCAATTTTTCTCTCTTTGTTCCTTATGGTCTTATACCAGAAACAGACCACAAGGCATTTGTTGCTTTCTATTACAAATATTTTTTAAATTATTTTAAAAATTGCATGGTGATGGCACGGGTTTGTGTTCTTACACAGCCCTTTCCAGACCCTTCCTAGATTAGCCTATTTAACATCTGTAGACACTTCCTTCTTCAGCCTTAGGACCTTTGTACTGTTACACTAGGTATGTGTAAAATAAAATGATGAATTTTTACTCCACAAACATCCGTAAACCTAATTTTTCTCTGATACTTACTGTCCTAAATCATGTGTTTATGTGACCTAACTGAAGTACTACATGCTTAACCACGAGAGAGCCAAAATGACCATCAGTTCAGGGTTTCTAGAACTATAGGTTATTCTAGCAAGCTGAGGTTAGGACAAAAACTGAATTTTGGAAAAGAAGCATCAAGTGACCAATGTATACTCCCTGCATTCAAGATTTCTCAAAACTTTCAAAATCAACAAATACCCTCTTATCAGGAATAGATGCTGCCGGGTGACCAATTCTATTTATTACAAATTCTGATGAAATTCTTAAGGAACTGAAATAGAAAGATGGTTACAGAACTAGGAAAGAAAGATGGAGGATTCATTCATAGGCTAGGAGGATGTAATATGGGTAAACGACATTATCTTTAGTCTACAACCTGAGTCCCAAACAAGTCGCGAATACCACACGAGAATGTGGAAAGCCTGCGACATAGCCACTGTAACTGCAATCCATCTGCAAAAAATAACAGACAAAGAAAAGCAAATGGATGACTTATTTTTGAAATGCATACCCCAGATGTATCATTTATATTTTTTTACCTAACTTAGTACTTTAATATGACTGGCAATTATCAGATGAATTTATGTCAGACAGAAATAAGCAATGCATACAGGGTATCCGATTTCATTGAATGTGTGAAAGAATATTCCAGTATGGACAGACTATTCATATTTTTAAATAAAATACAAAATGAAAAATCTGGAAGAAGAAAAACCTAAGACTTACCTCAGGTAACAAAGGCTGAGAACGTTGGACACCACGGTTGTCATAAAAATAAATCACAGAACCTGAAGATAAAAATGACCTAGGGAAAAACAAGCTAAAATGAAGAAGAAGAAGTACAAAAACGCTCTTCATGTACACATTGTCTATGTATTCAGGAATTTAAAATAGGATCGACTACTTGGAACAGCCTATTGTCCAAATAATTTCTGTCACGTAAACCTCATACTGAGGGTGGCAATTTTACTAGAGTAACACACTTTACTGATATGCAGGTCAGTGAACAACTCAAACTACTAGGTATCTCAAAGTGCCAGTTTCCTGCACAGAGTATCCAAATATTTGTCTTTATCCATAATTGATTTCAGAAGTTATACTCAAATCTCAAAATTAAAATGCAGAGCTAGGACTAAATTTTAAAAAAGATTTGCTTGGCCTCACTACAAATTCATATATACTAAGCTTAGCTCAGTCATGACTTCCTTAAATAAGCTTGGTCTAAATTTTTATTCGTATCCTTTAGTGAATATTCAAAACCTTGACACCACTCCTATCATTTATCCACGTGACTGCCATATTCACTGGCTCTCAGATCATGTTTCCACCATCAGTCCTTTTCCCAGGCAATTACCCCTGTGCTACAGGCCCTATCCATGCCATGAGCTAAAGAGATGCCCTTCCTCTCCTGCAATTAGCATCAATCTCTCCCCACTTTCTCTCTCCAAGTTTTTTATATTAACACTATTTTAGAAGTTATGTTCAAAACCTTGCCATCCCAAATAACTGCACCAAGCAAGTTGTCTTCTATACCCTTTACTTTTTTTCAGTTCTCAACTGATTTTTTTTATCCAGAGTAGTCTATGCATATATGCTCCAATTTCTCAATTCTTATTCATCTCAGAACTTCTCTGGAGAGCATCTATAACCATGAGTGTGTCAAATTTGAAGGATATTTTTTAAAATAATTACTGTACTGGGCCTCTAACTTTTATTTAAAAACTGAGTGCTCAGTCTAATTACTTGATTTATATTAAGCTTCACTCTTCTGTTATTTTTCCTAGCTCTGTGGCTCTCTCTAGTGTTATCTTCCAGGTTGGCTGCATTTTATTTGCTATCTATGCTAGAAATACTAGTCTTACATCTTCTCTCCAGGAGAGAAGAGCCTCCTGCGCTATGTCTTCCTGGCCATCGACACCTATGTACTTTCCCTCAATACTCAAGTCATCTCTTTTCTCTATTCAGAAGCCTTCTCAAACTCCTAAAGAATACTACTTACATATTTATCACCTTATAATAAAATTCCGCTTCTCTATTAATGTGTCTGAATGTCTACTTATCCATTCCAAATTCATGTTTTATGCTCTTCTTATACCTAAAACTTTCCCTAATTCCCACTATAAAATAGCTATCTATTCATTTAAATTGAAATCATGCTTAGCATAACAGTGTTTAAAAATCAAGAAACCCAAGAATTGAAACTTTTAAAGGAAAAATACTTACTGCTTTTTTTACATACTTACTCTTTTTTAAGACGGACAACATATGATTTTCCTTTTAGCGTAATGTTATAAGCAACCTAGAACAAAAGTATCCCAAAAATCCAACACTTGTAAATAGTATATACTAAATTATCTACTTTAACTTATGTTTTAAAAGATTGATAACGTTAATAGAAATATTGCAGTTGTATCAATTTCACTTCCTATGTGGATATTTAAAACTTCAAAATTCTAAATTGACAAATAGGTGCCTGCTCCTCACCACTGCCCTCATTTGTGGGGAGAAACTCACCTGATTTTCAGTTATCCTTGGTGCAGATCTTTCCCACCAGACTACCATGCCAAAGGCAAACAGTACGACTCACCTCAGGCCTCACTCTAAATCTGCGTTAAGGTAATCCCAGTTTTTTGCTATTCCCTTAAATTTTGTACTATCCGTTTTGGTTTATAATAAGATGCTCCTCTAAAGCCTCATTGGCTCACAGGGGGAGCTTGTGGGAGGTGGCTGGATCATGGGTTGATGGTACCAGATTATAGGTGTGTAATAACTGGGCTGACTGATTTAGCATAATTCTGAGTGTGGATGATAAGAAGGGTCACCCTGAATGTGGGCGGCATCAACCAATGGACTTTTAACCCAGATGGAATAAAAAAATAAAAAAACAGGAAAGCTGGATGCTGCCTCCTGCCTACCCAGTCATGGACTGTTTCTCCAGTGCCACACTCCTCTGTTATGCTGCCCTGCTTTGGAGCTAGCCAACTATGGACTGAAACTTCCACAAATAATAAACCTTTCTTCCTTAACATATGGCTGTTGAGTATTTTGTCCAAGCAGTAAGAAAGTAATTAAGAAAGTATCCCTAAAGACCTTGCAAACAGGAACACAACATTTTATACATATTCATATCCTTCCCAATGTGCTGTTGTAAACATGTTCTAAGCTGTCAGAGCATATTCACAACATGTTTCTGCCTGTGCTCAGCAGCTTTGGACTTGACATTTAAAGGCAACTTAACAGAATCTAAGGTATAAAAATACTATTCCCCGATTACATTATGTTCTAGATGTCTTCTTGTATCTACTGATGAAATCCTTTCAGGAACTGTGGTCTGCACAAAGGTTTTACGAGGATCTAAAAATACAGATAAGTAATATTTTGGTAAGTATGGTCTAATTAGGCATTTGTTTCTCTGAGCTGGCAGCTATTTTTAAATAATGCATACATCCTTCTTAACTACTGTGTGTATGTCGCTCTCTACCCCTTCCCCCTCCGCTTCTCTTCCCCTCCCCCTCTCCCCCCCCCCTTCTCCTACTCCTCCTCCTCCTGAGACAGGGTCTCACTATGTAATTTAGATTGGCTATGCAGCCCAAACTGGCCTCGAACTCTCAAGTGCTGACATTACAGGTATGTCTCCACTGCTCCACTGTCTTTTTAACAATTCTTACCTACAAATTTCTGAGTCCTTGCCAATATCTGTTTTTATTCTCTCTCTGTGTCACACACACACACACACACACACACACACACAATCAGCAGTTCAACAGCTCAGCAAAGCTAATAGCAAGTACAAAATTACAGTGCAGTCAAAGACATGGCAGTATGAAACCACATACATATTCGACAGGAAAGTAAGATCATTTTTGGGAAAGTGTGGAATATTAGATACACAGTCTTCAGTGGAGCAGTGAAAGGACAGCAGTTGACGAACCAGAAAAATCATAGATGAATGGTGATACAATTATTCCTAGGGGGGCAGAATTTTATAGTGAGTAGCGGACACAGATTTCATTTTTGTCCGTTTTATATATAAGAAAACTGCCCCGAGAAGTACAAATGTTCTCCCCTTGAGGTGTCTCTCTGCCCGTGTACCCAGAGGAAGGGGCCGGAAGCAGAAAGTGCCAGCAGGCACCCAGGCAAAGTCTCAGCCCTGTCCAGGAGAACAAAGACCGCTCAGACGCTTCGGACTGCGCTGAGGGATCACGTCTGGACTCACTGTTGCCTGCGTACAGTCTCCCAAGGCCCGTGAGAAGCACTAAAACAAGGAACATGGCTCTGATGTCCTAGAGCCCGTTGGAACTGCAGGTGAGGGGTTGCGATGTGACTCGAGCGCAGACCCAGCTGGGGCCTGCAGGCGGCGGGTGGGGCGGGGCTAGAGGGTGGGCGTGGCTAGATGGTGGGCGTGGCTAGAGGGTGGGGCGGGGCGCCGGCTGGCCGAATGGGGACTTCAGTCTGGTGGGGCGGGGCCGGCGGGCGGGGCGGGGCTGGGGCTCCTCCTCCTGCTGAGGGAGTGAGTTCGGGCTGTCGGTGTGAAACCGCAGCGCTACTGCAGCTGTTGAAGATAGCAAGGTTGCTTCGAGCTTCTCAGGTTAGGGGTGCCTGGTGAAGATTTTGTTTTTATATTTTAGTCAGACTTCTGGCTTTGGAATTACCGTCTCGAAAATAAACAAAATGCAAATTATCAAGGCTTGCAGCAGCGCTCATTCAGTCATAGGTACCATCCAAGCCCCTGAGCTAGAGCCAGGCAAAAAAAATGTTTGCAAGGACAACAACAAAAGATCTGCTGATAGCTGTGACTTTCAATTTCACTGTTGGACGAACAAAATAATAAAATAATATCTGCTCAAATACAGACTTACAAAAAATCTTGTGCAGTATCCGGTGCTATTATTGCTACCCTCTGTAATCCTGCAGTCCTGATTTTACTTTAATTAGCTTTTTTTAATTTCTGTACTAGAAGCAGAAAGTTTGATTTCTTAAAGGCCATAGGTGCTCCTTCCTTTGCTAGCCCACCTCGTAAGTACGTTAAATTAGGCCATACTCACACATTTACTATAATGTTGCTGCAAAAATAATGCAGAAGACATCTTTATAAATTACTTTAAAATGACTTTACCATCATGCCAAAAACTTTGGGAAGTTATTAGCAGAATGACAAACTAATCATCTTCAAAAGGAACCAAGTGACCAGGAGAAAAATTCAGGGTAGAGGAAATAAACAGAATGGACATGGTTGCTTAATGAATTTGGAGTATCATGTTGATGAAATCTCTTAGAAAAGAACAGAAAAAAATAGAATACAGTTATAAAAATAAAATGAAGAGCTAAGAAGAGTAGAAATATCGTTATTAATATCTAGATATGTAACAGCATTCCAGAAGAGAAGAAAAAATAGAAATAAGAGAAAACACTTAAAGGAATAATGGGTAAACTTTCTGTAGATTTATAATTAAAATGATAAAAATAACCCCAATTCTGATTTTCAAACATGAAAATACTAGGATGAGAGGAATGGAGAACAGAGATAACTGAATTTGGAGAATGTAGTATTTATATGACTACATGTACAAAAATATCAACTAAGTTGATAGAAATACAGAAAAAATTTGACAAAATTTATTTATATTTCTTATATAGAGCACACTAATAGGCCCTCTTTCCTGATCCACTCTGCCAGTGTTTCTTTTTCTTGGTGAATCGAGGCCAGCCATATTAGTGATTATGGCCAACCTTCTCTGCCTCATCTCTGCCATGCTATTTTTCTGCCATTGGTAGTCTACTTTTCCCCTTCATTCCACTGTCTGCCCCATTCAGTGAGGCCCCTCTGCTACTGTTCATGAAACCATGGTCTTTTTTTTATCTCTCTCTATATTTCACTATATTTTGTAGGATTGGCTTGGTGGTCACGAACTCGCCCAGTTCCTCTTTGTCATGGAAATATCTTGTTTCTGTTAATTTTGAGTGATAGTTTTGTGGGATACATTAATCTGGGTTGGAGGTTATTTTCTTTTAGTATTTGGAATACTTCACTCCAAACTCTTCTTGATTTGATGGTTTGTGTCGAGAAGTCTGCCATGATTCTGATGGATTTTCCTTTATGGGTGATCTATTTCTTTTCTCTGACAGCTTTTAATATTCTGTTCTTGTGTTGAATTTCTGGGATCTTAATTATTATATGTCTGGGTGTAGATCTATTTTGATTGTAGCTGGCTGGGATTCTGTATGTCTCATTTATCTGAATATCATTTTCTTTGCCTATGCTTGGAAAGTTCTCTTTATTTCTGTAAATAGCCTCTGTATTTCATGTGTGTTTACCCCTGCTTCTTCACTCACTTTTTTATTTTTAAAAATAGATCCTCTTGTCATCTTTCTAGCCTTTGTATTGTTACTTCCTGGTTCCTTGTTAATTTTTAAGAGATCTTTCCTTTCACAATTGCAAGCTGCAAACCTGTTTTCAGGGTTTGATTGTCTATCTTTAGTTATTTCAAGCAGTTTTGCCAGCTTTTTAATTTCCTGGTAATCTCTTTGAATCTATTTCATGTGTTCTAAATTTTTTTATATTCTTCATTGAAGGTTTCCCTCCTTCTTCTATGCTCCTCTATTCTTTCATATGTGTCTTCTTTAGAGGTGCTTAGCAATTCTATTTTGCTTCTCATATCTTCTTTTATCTGTGACAGTATTTCTGTTCTAAGTTTTTTATAGCTTCATGGAGTTGTTTCTTTATTTCAGTTGTGGTTGCTTCAAAAAGTGCAGGTGTTCAACTCCCTTTCTCTTTTGTGTTTACATCTCTTGGACCAGTACTGCTTGGGTTGGAGGCTAGGGACTGCCTTTTGCTTCTTCCCGTTGTCATGTTCCTGGTTTCTTCTGAACAAGTGTGTAGCAGGGTCTCTGGCACTTCCTCTATTGGTTATAATTACTCTCAAGTGTTTTAGCTATGTATTTTTGCTGTTTGCTGCTTTCCCCAGTTTGCTGGTGGCTACTGGAATATAAGCAGGCATGGGGCAGGCTGACTGGTTAACCACAGGGAGTCTTTACCATGTTAGTGTGCACCAGGCAGGTGGGGTTGGTTAGGGATAGCTTTAGGGAAACCTTGGCAGTGACTATTAGACCATGCAGAGGGGCGGGACTCAGTCCAAGCAATTTCCACCAGTCTTCTCCAAGTTAGGAGTGGCTGAACAAAGCCTGCTGCAGTTCTGTCTCCAGGCTTATACAGCCCGACTCCAAAATGGCACCTGGCCAATCTCACACTCCTGCTTGAGAACTGAGTCCCACACATTCACTGCCAACCAGTGCAGTTCTCTGATCTGCTGCTCCCCTCTGCCATCACATCTCCCCACCAAGGCCTTCAGGCTTGCTAGTCACCAGCTTCACTGTACCCGTGCATCTATGGGTTCCAACAGCACTTCTGTCATGGTAGTTCCAGTGCTGGTGAAAGCACCACCAGCTACGGCCTTCTTCTGTTTAAGTTTTTGTTTTGTATTGTTTTCTTTTCTTTTTTTCTCTCAGTGGGCTTCAATTCTCACTTTAGTTTCCTCCTGGGACCCACTTTTTTCCTTCTTGTCTTCTCTAGGATGCTATATTCCAGCATCTGGACTGTTTCTCTCAGAGAGGCTATTTACTCTGCTGCTTATTATTCTGCCATCTTCCCAGACTCTCCTCTGGCCTTTTATTTGCTTGTATCACATTCATTTATTTATCTTAGAAAATTAATTATAATATATACAGATTAATGACCAGGATTACAGGCTAAAAAACATTCACCATGAGACAATGGGATTAAATCAAAATACACATTTAGATACTTTGTCCATGCTATATTTCAATAAATTTTTCTTTTTTTCTTATATCTGTCTTTCATTTTGTCTTTATCTATATTTTTTCATATTAGAAAAATTATACAATGCTTAAATCTTTCATCAGATTTGCTTCATTTAACATTATGGTCTCAGGATGCACCCATTTCTCTACAAATGTCTCAACTTTATCCTATTTCACAGCCCAGAATTACTCCACTGTGTCTAAATAAAACATTTTCTGGGAGGAACCCATCAAGAGAAAGAAGCCAATTAGATCTTCTGTACACCAGACTCAGGAATTCTGAGCAGGCAAATGGGTGGGTGAAATCGGTTCCAGAGGCTGGGTGACCTGGCAAAAGTGCCCCACACACTTTCCCCTGAGTCCAGCTAACGTGGGGCCTCCTGCTCAGCTCAAAGAGGGATCCTTGTGGCTTCCCAGTGTGCCAGACCAGTGTGGCACGTCGCAGGCGGGCCTGCAGCATACTTCCCCCACCCAGCAGTGCTTGGCAGACTCTGGAATTCTGAGCAGGCAAGCAGGCAGGTACCATCTGTTCCAGTGGCTGGGTGTCCTGGAATAAGTGCCCCATGCACTTTCTCCTGAGTCCAGTTAATTTGGGACCCCCCCCCACTCAGCTTGGAGAGGGAACTTTGTGACTTCTTGGTGCACTGGATCAGCGCACTGGGTCCTAGGTGGACCTAGGGTGGCCTCCCCACTCCTGGTTATGCTTGGGGGTTCTGTGGAGTTCTGAGTGAGCAGGCACCATCAGTTCAAGGGGCAGGGTGTGGGCCAGAAGACCCGAACACCAGACATCCTCTCTCAATCTGGGGAGCTGGGTGGCCAGAGTCCCAGGAGCTGAGGGCATAGAATAGGATCTCCAACAGACCCTGGGGAAGCCTTGGAATAAAACATGATACACTTGAAACACAGAAATATAGGAAAATGACAAAATGAAAGACCAAATTACAATCTCAGACCTCCAGCCCATCCAAAGAATCCTTAGGAGTGACATACATAGAAGAAAATATATGCCATACACCTGAAATATTAGACATACTAGCAACTGAAATAAAGCAATTCTAGAAGCTTTAAAGGAATTCAAACTAGAAATAATCTCCCAGGTAAAAGAAGAAATGCTAAAAGAAATGAAGGAGGTGCTGAACAAATCTAAAGAAGACACAGTTAAAAAACTGGAGGAACTAAACAAAAAGACAGAATCCTTGGATGAGCAATATAAGAAACAAACAGAATACATAAACCAGATGCACAGAGATATACAGGAAATCAAAAATTCCACTGAAAGATGTAAAAACCACCTCAATAAAAGTGAAGATAGAATTGCAGACATTGAAGACAAGATTGCAGCTAGTGAACAGGAAAGGAAGGATCTTTTAAAAATAACAAGGAATCAGGAAATAACAGTTCAAAAAATGCAAGATGATACAAAGAAAAACAAGATGAGATTGATAGGGATTAGGGAAAAGGAAGGGGACAACATAAAGGATGTTAAGAGGAT